ATTAGAATGTGCATGTGTTTGAAGAATTGGTGGCAGTTTGAAGATGAGAATGAATAATAATAAAAAATATTAAATTTATTTTATAAAATATATTAAATTTATTTTTACATAAATTTATTTTTATTATAAATATATTTATTATTTATAATAAAATAATCATAAAGTTTTGTTGACATTCACAAAATAAATCTTTTTAAGATTAGTATTAACAAAAATTTCTTTCTTAGTAATACAGGCCCGGGACCGACCTGAAATTTTCGGATCGGTCATGGGTTGATGCTTAACCCGCCCAAACCTGACCCGTTAGGAACTTTAGACTAGTGTTGGTTTCCAAGGAATATTGAAACGGTTTAACCAAATTTGGAAATTATTCACAAAAAAATAACCAATTTTGTATATATAATCTTAATAATAAATTAAATTAATTTACAAACATGATGCCTTGTCTCTGTTTTATAATTTTATGCATAAATAAACCTCCTGTTATAAATATCATACCACAGAAAAATGATCCTACAGTTGAACCGGCTAAAACTCCAGTTGTTACCACACTATCTGTTACTATTGTTGTTGTTGCTGCTGTTGTTTCTGTTACTGTTGTTTGGTAAATACTAGTTGTAGTTTGATTACTTATTGTTGGGTCTTGCCCCTAGATTAAAAAAACTATCAATGTAACCCTTTGGGAATCTAAAGAAAGTAAAACCTAAAAATAAACCTTACCAAATAATCCATTTCTACTTCCCCACGAGATAGAGCAAAGTTATAATAGCGAAAATTGCTAATTTTTAAAACATAGATAATTATTTAATATGTTTATATGAATCAATATGATTGAATATAAGAACTCCATATATATATATATATACCTAATTTGCCCATTAATTCCATTGCAGTGGGTATCATTTCCAATGTATAATGGTGCATCATTGAATATAACAAATTCATTCTGAACTAATATGATACTTGAAAATCCAACCCATTTACCATTTATATATATATCCATTCGTTTTTCAATATTTGAAAGTGTGTACGCAACATGATACCATTGGTTAAGCAAAATTTCATTACCCAAAATACCATCAATTCCCCGATTCATATCAATATTAGTCGTGTAACGTGGATGTAGAGCTGAATTCTGTGGTGTCAGCCAGAGTGAAGGTGTACGTTCGGCGACTTCCTTTCTACCTAAATATAAAAAACATTATATAACTAAAGAACTTTTTGAGATAAATAATTAGTAGTCATATGTAAAATACCCTTATGAAAAATAACAGCCCAACCAACATCATGACTCATGAGATTTATTTATAATGTTATTGACAACTCCTCATTTACAAGTGGTAACTCATTATGGTTTATAATTCGATTAGTAGTAGGAGTTAATGTGAGTGTTTCTGTTATTAATTCTTTGTATGATTTTTGTGGTTGACAAAATAGTGAATAATTGATTATTATTATTATTATTATCAAATATTAGTAATTCAATAGTAGTGTTTTCATTTCTCAATTAAAATTTTCTGTAAGAAAAAAACCCCCGAAAAAAAATCGGCAAATGATTAATACTTGATCGTTTTTTAATTGTAGAATGACAAAACGTCACACTTTAACTATAAAATCTTATTCATTTTATACATCTTTAATTGGTTTCGTGGAACATCTAAATTTCTTTATAATGCAACATGTAACATGCAGTTTTTACACAAGTGAAAAATGATTTTTGGGATCATAATAAATAAAAATTGAACACGAACGAAATTTTTTAAAGCTACAATAAAATTTTTTATTTGATTGCCTTATATAACAGCTAATTCTCAACTTCCCAATGATAGATTAACTACTGGTGATCATTTCGCAGAATGGAATGAAGAAAATATTCATGTATGTTGTGCAGGTACTTATTATCGAAAACTGAGCAAAGACCTCCATTATCTAATTTTGGTGTACATCATGTAATGTTCCATTATGTTGTAATATAAATTGCTTCAAACTTTATCATGAAAAGGAAAATATTTATTCAAATAAAGACTAAACTGACTGTATGGATTGTCTAAAATAAGAAATGCGAGAAAAAAATTTTATGACATAAGTTTTAATAAGGTCACTGTATTCTATAAAATTTTTTAGAAAAGTTTGCTGTTAAAAAATGCAAATTATTACTATTAAAGTAAAAATAAATTACGTGAATAAAATTACATATTTGTTATTGGAGTGACTTTTAAGGGATTAATTATGATTATAATGATGTCGATCCTTTCCGTTTATCACGAATTCCGAATGTTTGCTTATTATTATCTTCGACGCGCACTTAAAAGTAAATAACCATTTGCATTTTTTTCTTTTTTCTTTGTTCTTTATTATTGCTATCGTTATATTGTTCGCTTTATGTATGATGGATGACACACAGCCCATTCACGATCAACAATCAATTTCTTATTTAATTGACATTAAATCAAATATTTAAAGGATCCATTTATCTGTGATTGCGAAGAATAACCAAAATTCTAAAATAACTGGTTTGCTATAAATTTTTATAAATTCCTTAACACATACGATTTGAAAAAAGACCAAATTTCGCTAAGAATTAACTGAACAAAACAAAATGAAATTCAATATTTCTCTTCTCTTTTTGGCTATCTTTGCTGTTGTTGCTTTAGCAAGTCCAATAGATGATATCAATAATTTGGAGAAGCGAGGTATTTCATTTAACTATTGCAATAAACATCATTATAGTCAAATATCATTATTTTAAAAAAATACTAACTATTGGGTTTCATTTTATTTTAAATAATAAATAGTTCCGTAAGTATTATTATTACAGTCAATATCATTGTTTCCGAAAACATATTTATTAATTATTGATTTTTATTTATTTTAAATAATAAATAGAGTGGTAAGTTACTATTATTACACTCAATATTGTTGTTTTTGAAAAACATATTAACTGTTGATTGATTCTCATTTTATTTTAAATAATGAATAGCCTGTAAGTATTTTCATCATTACTATCATTAGTCAATATCATTGTTTTTGAAAACATATTAACTGCTAATTTTACTTTATTTTTAATAATGAATAGAGAGTAAGTATTTTCATCATTACTATTATTAAAGCCAATATCATTGTTTTTGAAAACATATTAACTGTTAATTCTCATTTTATTTTAAATAATGAATAGAGAGTAAGTATTTTTTTTCATCATTACAATTATTAAAGCCAATATCATTGTTTTTGAAAACATATTAACTGTTGATTGATTCTTGTTTTATTTTAAATAATAAATAGAAGGTAAATATTTTTGTACTATTATTACAATCAATATCATTGTTTTTGAAATATACTAACTATTGATTGTTTTTTTAAATAATAAATAGCCAGTAAGTATTTTCATCATTTATTTATTATTACAGTCAATATTGTTGTTTTCGAAAACATATTAACTGAACTGTTGATTGATTTTTGTTTTATTTTAAATAGTAAATAAGGCTGTATTTGCTCTTTAGCTCTCCGATAGATTTATTTATTACTTTAATTTTTGGTTGTAATATTATAAATTGTACTCTTTTATCTTTTATTTTTTTATTATTGGTTATTATAATTTTTACGTTGCATAAGGTTCTCATGCAAACATTAATGTTTATTTTACAACATAGGAAGCAAAAATAAATAAATCAAATTCATACACAATAAGTGTTTATTATAATTCGAAAAGTCAAGTTTTACGTGTCAATATAAATGGGGAATGATAAAAATGCAAATTGAAATACTTTCTATAAATAAAAAATTAATATGTATGCTAGAAAAAATTTAAGTGAACTTTTAAGAATAATTAAAGCTCTTCATGAGCTGGCTTGCGAGCTGGCTCATGTGGAGCCTTAAAAATAATCCTAAAATGCATTAATGTTTTGGATGATTTGCACTGGTTTTTCTAAAAATTAGTTTTTATGTTAAGGCACAGTTGAATCCCGAACACCTCAGCCGGTATCATTAGCACAAGAAAGAAATGAAACATTTGCCATGTCACAACCACCTTCCAAAATCAGTAAGGAAAGTGACCTTCGTGCAGGTTTCTCGCCAATTGTCTCCTTTTGCGTTTAGCCATGCTTGGTCTTTTCAGCTTTTGGCACAATCAACATTTTCACAATACTTGGCAAAAATTGTGTCGTATGGCAAATGGTTTGTTTCTTAATAGATCCAATTGCAAGCATGCATGCAATGTTTTTGCAAGGTGAGAAGAGGCATGATCAGTGAGCCAGTAAAATTCTATATTTTTTAACCTAATTTTTTGGGAAGGAATTTTTTGTTTTCGCTGGATGGTAAATTTCAAAAAAAATTTCTGAAATCGATCTACATGATTCTTTTCTTTGTAAATACCTTTTTTTCCACGTGATGAACATTTATCATGCAATAATAAATAAATATCTTTTCCAACCGAAGAGAACTGTTTAGTAAGAATAGATTTTGTTATTTTACATTTTAAGAAGAGCTATTTAATTTTAACCATTGAATTAATTATTGTTCTTTATATGTTCTACTAACTAAGAATGCTTTTTTGGTGGTGGCGAAGCATCTTTCTTTTTTCGTTTAATATTTAGTTAATGTGATGAAGATCAACACTTCTTATGAAATCCTTTGCATATTTGTTTGCACCATATACATCAGAAATGGTTATGATGGTCTTCTTCTCCATATTCGCATGGGTAATGTCCTCCTCGAAATATGTGCCACTCCTCCTTCATAGTTGTAAGCGGTCTTTCAACTTTTTCCATTGTGAAGTTATATGCTTCTATGATCCTTGGATATGTGTCATCATTATAATTGGTATCTTCTTTAATTCCTTCTCCGGTTTCTTCTTCTTCATTTCTGATTACTACTGGAAGACATTTTTCTGAAGTATTGTTCTGACATGAATACTTCTAATTCTCCATCTGAATCTGAGCTTTCATATTCCGACGAATCGGATTCATTATCTTCTTCTGATGATAGTTCTTCTCCATACTTGTGTGCCACTTCTACAGTTGCTTTTTGATCATCCCAGTAGAATGTTAACTCCGAATCACTCCAATTACTACAGCATCTACTTTGGATAACCAATCATTTTCTAGGATAGCATTATAAGTGTTCGCTTCTGTTACGATTGCTGACAATGGAATTGTGATCCCTTCTATAGTTAGTGGTAAGTCATCTACTCCTCCCAAAGGTGAAGTCTTTTGTCCACTTACATTAATGATTACAATAGATGGAATTTTTACTCCTAATTTATCTAACAATCCTTTAGAAACTATAATTCCTGCTGCTCAACTATCTATAATTATAGGAAAGCTTATTCCGTTGATACTTGCTTTGCAGTACATTGCAGTTGATCTTATGTCTGCATTTAATTGTTCAGTCTGCGGTGTCTTCTTACTAACTCTTCTTGTTTGAGGGGTTCGTAAACTCCTAGACAATTCCGATCTCAATTTTGGTACTGCTTGGAATAATTGCCCGAAGGTAATATCAACTTTCTGCTTCTTGATGTCGGTTACCACAGAGTATGGTTGTATCAAGTTCGAAATTGGCAGTTGTATTGTATTTCTCATCTTTTTCCTGGGTGTTCTTTTCGTAGTCTTTTTCTTTGCTTTTTCATTATTTTGTTTAGGTTCCTTTCTTCATCTAGAGTCACTTCTATCTGATTGTATATCCATTGCTACACCTGTTTCTTCTTAGATAGTCTTTTGTTTCTACAGGTAACATTAACTTTATTGAATTTCCTACAACCATATCCGCCAACATTGATTGTTGCTGAGTGTTATTCCGATTATTATTATTGTTTCTTGTTGCATCATTATAATTGTTGTTACCACCACTATTAATATTATTATTGTTCCTATTATTGTTACGACTGCTATTGTTGTCGTTGTTTCCTCCATTATTACCATTATATCTGGATAATTATTTCCTCCATGTTCAATTTTTCCAAATAATTCATAAATATGTGCTGCAGAAGCATCTACAGTTTCTCCATGTAGTTGCTTCCGTTTCTCCAACTCTGCTGCCCACCCTTCTTCCATTGCTCTAGTTCTATATCTAGTTTGAAAATTCGGAACAAAACTTGTTGCAATTGTACCATTATTGGTGTTATCATTCCACCGGTCTATATTTCCTTTGACTTGAGTCCAGTATGTAGCGGCTCCTCCTTTTAGTATTGGTACTGCCACAGCTACCTTCCGATCATTGGCTACTCTATTCGTCACAAAGGCTTGTTCTATTTCCTCCAACCATGTGATTGGGTCTTGGTCTCCTCTGTAGTATTCAGGGTACTTGACATTATTTAATTCTGTCACAGCAGGTTGTTGTGGAACTATTGCATTTACCGCTTGAGTTATTGCATTTGCCAATTTTTGTAATTCTTGTTGATTAATTTGGACTTGATTTTGTTGTTGGTAATTAGGTTGATTAAAAAGTTGGTCGATACCAAATGTTGATTCGCCTGAGTTACTGTCTGTATCACTATCTGAGTTTGAATCACTAACTATTGTTGAGTCACTCACTAGGATTATCCTCTTCTTCAATTATGGGTTCTGGAGAACTTTGAGGTGCTTTGTTTAAGGATATTTTAAAGTGGTGAGTTCTTGCTGCTGCAACTCGATAGTCTTGGTGGTGTGTTAATATATTCCCTGTATCTTATACAGTGTCGTGACCAGAAACTCTTTTGGCTTCCCGAAACGTTTCGGAAAATGAACTTACACTAAACAGAAAACTAAAGCATAAACTACTAACCTAAACTAGTTTCAGGTGGTTTCTGTTAGTTTCTGTTTCGGGTCTTCCCTAAACTCAGAGTTTCGGGTCACGACACTGATCTTATACTAACTAATAGTGTTAAATCAAGTTGTTGTAACCGTCCAAAGACTTACTCTACTAATAGTTGCTCAAAGGTGTTTATAGTATATGAGGTGCAGTCTATTGCTCGGTGTGTTTCTCTTATCCAATCTCAAAAGATTAAAAATCAAAAAGAAAAGTTTCGATTAATAGGATGACAAGTTGCACAAGATATGTCACTATGTACTTGTGATATATTCCTTATGGTTAGGTACCGTTGATGTACTTGATTATGGATCTCTGCATTCCCTTGTATAAGTTGTATTGTTTCTTGATCTATATTCATTCAGTCAATCCTTGTAAGGATAGTACTTTGTCAGAGATATCTTCGAAAGGAACTTCTTCCCGAAATATAAATTCTTCCTTAATTAAGTCTTCTTCCGAATCTTCTTTTCTTGATAGTTTTCGGAATACAAATTCTAGTTCTTCCTCTTCAGTTGGCCCTTGTAATTTACAGTTTCTTTTTATATGGCCTTTAATCCCGCAGGAATAACACTTCTTATTTGGGTGAGGATTTCTAGATGGTTTGATAATGTAGTTTGAATAGTTGATCTGGATTCTCAGCAAAATATCTATAAACTAAATTGATAATTCGAGAATCTTTTATAGTTCTTTTAAGAATTTGTTGATAGACACGTTCAAAAACTTCTGATTTAATTAATTCAGAATTATATACTCTCAAATGCATTTAGGTTTCTTAAAATAAGAATAGAAAGAAATTTGTGTAACCTCATAAGGTAATATAGAATGAAAATAAAAGCTACCTCGCAAGGTAAAATTGAAAATGTAAAAAAAAATAAAAATAAAGGAATTAAAATAATTCAAATAGAATAAAATTATGCAATTAAAAAGAATCCCGCGGAATTTTGATTATGTTTTATCTTCCTTGGTGTAAATTTTCACACAACCCGCACCAAGTTGTCACCGATTAAATTTGGTATTTTAATTGGTGATAACAATTATTTTTGTATTTGTGTAGACCAGAATGAATAGGTTATTAACGAATTAATTTTGGTATTAGCGAATAATTTTGGTTAAGATAAAAATGTTAAATAAAATTTATTTTAATTATTTAGTTTATTTAGTTTTTCTTAGTCGAAACTAATTAACTTATGACAAAGTTACTTTTACATTAGATCGAAATTGAGTTCTTTGTATACATATTCAATTACATATGAGCCCGACGCATTGAGAGATTTCGCCCGAATTGGATGCTTTCGCCCAACATTGCACGTGGGCGAATTCGCTCATCGTCATTAATCTACATTAAATAAAGTTAAATAAATACAAACATGCTACATATTAATTAATAATAAATGAATATAAATGATAATTGGTAATTTTACAAGTTATTAAAATAAATAGAAATAAAAATATAATAATAAAAATATCAATAAAATTAAAATTAAATTAAATAAAATAATAATAAAAATAGAAATAAAATTTAAATTGACCCGGAATTAAGAGATTCGGCCAAAATATCTGCATCAAAGTCTAATTCCGGTAACATTAGTATTAATTGAGTGATGTGGATGTAGATTTGAGTTCTGTGGTGCCAGCCTGAGTGAAGGTGTACGTTCGATGAGCTGCGTCCTATCTAAATTATACACACATATAACTAAAGAACTTTTTGAGATAAATAATTAGTAGTTATATGTAAAATACCTTTATGAAAAACAGCAGCCCAATCAACATCATGACTCATGAGTTTTACTTTTAATATTATTGACAACTCATCTTCTACAATTGGTAACTCATTATGGTCTATAATTTGATTAGTAGTAGTATGATTTTTGTGGCTGACAAAATAGTGAATAATTGATGATGATTATTATTGTTGTTGTATGTCAATTCACATATGTGAAATTCAAATTTACATGCGTGAAATTCAAATTAGCCAATCAGAATTTCACTCCACTCCATAATATTTCAATTTCACATAATTTCAATTTCACATACAACAATTATCAAATAATAGTAATTCGATAGTAGTGTTCTCATTTTTTAATGATGTAGAACTTTGATGCAATAATAAAAATTTCTGTAAGAAAAAAACCTCAGAAAAAAAATCTGCAAATGAATATTATAATATAGTAAAGTAATATAATCAGCATTTATAATAAATATCTTTTATTGTATATAAAGAATTTTAGATGTTCCACGAAACCAATTAACAAGTTTTATAATTAAAGTGGGGTGTTTTGTCATTCTACAATTAAAAACGATCGAGTTTTCTTATGATTATTATAATTCCTTTCCGTTTATCTTCGATATGCGCCTAAAAGTAAATAACCGTTTGCATTTTTTTTCTTTTCACTTTGTTCTTTGTATGATGGATGACACACAGCCCATTCACGATCAACAATCAATTTCTTGTTTAATTAACATTAAATCGAATATTTAAAGGATCCATTTATCTGTGATTGCGAAGAATAACCAAAATTCTAAAATAACTGGTTTACTATAATTTTTTTATAAATTCCTCAACTGCATACAATTTGAAAAAAAAACCCAAAATTTGTTAAGAATTAACTGAACAAATCGAAATGAAATTTAATATTATTATGCTCATTAATATTATTATGTTCATTAATAATAACTGGAGTAACGATGAGTGGTGGGCGATAACCACCATCACCATCCTTAAAACACTTACCCATCATTTCTTGATTTTTTATTACTTTTATTTGTAAACGAGCTTACGCGAGAAATTTTTATTATATAACAAGAGTTTTTTAAAAAATATTGAGTTAAAATGAGTTTTTTTTACGCGATTTATAATAACAAAGTTTTTTTAAAATTTAACTAGAGTAACGAGTGGTGGCAGTAACTAGAGTAACGACAAGCGGCGGGCGATAACCACCACTACCATCCTTAAAACACTTACCCAGCGACACCAGAATCATTTTTATTGCTTTTTCTTTTTTGCTTATTGACGACAGACATTATATTTTTTTTAATTGAGATATTATTATTTGATCGACGTGTACACATTAATTATTTATCCTATTGGTTTTTTTTTCTGGTAGGACAGACGCGAATGATTTTTTTTTTTTGGAAAAACAATTAATTTATTTTTTGACAGGGTCCAAGGTGACAAAACGCGAGTGTTGTTGTTTGGTTTGGGTCTCCTAAAGAAAACGTGTTAATAACTAACCAGAGGTACTACTTTTTTTTACTTGTATTGATTGATATTTTTGGTTATTATAAATATTTTAATTGGAAATCAAAACGCGGAGCAGATCATTGTTGGGTAATTACAAGATTTTCATTGATAATATTTTGCTTTTCGTAATTGTAATAATATTAATAATATTATTATAATTA